CAAAAGAGAAAAAGAAAATGAGATAAATAAACAAATAATAGTTATTTCAACATTATTCGACAAAAATCTTAGTGGAAATAATTATTTTTTGTTTCTCCCGGTGCCGGGGTAAAGACTGCCGGGGCCGGGCGGCGCCCGGTCTAGCCCATCCCTGGTTATGCCACTATTTGGAAGTCATTTTAAGCCGCTGCCTGGATATCTCTGCCATACTTAAAAAATAGTTACCACAAAGTTAACTAACTGATAGTTATCGTCATTTCAACGGTAACTGGAAACGCAGTTACCGTTGTCGATAACGGCCGAAGAAGTAACGGTAACTTTTACAGTCCTAGTTAGTGCTCTATGTATCAGAATTGATAAAAATGTAGTTTTTCGTTTGATCTCAAATAAATGAACTCTTGTGTAAATGTTTTTTATACTGTTTCAGTTTTACTTTCCGGATGGCATTTCCTGATGTTTTCTCACTCTAGTCTTTAAACGAACGCTGATATGCAGCCAACTCCTTTTGTAGGGAATTGCGCAGGTGATGACTCTTCACTTCTTTTTATACTAGAGTTTTACACTGTTACTTGTCTTTTGTTTAGTGAGTATTAGTATTAATAAAGTGACATTGTTCAAACCTAATGGAGCAAAATACATTGCTGACGATGAGTCTACTGATGAAGGTCACAATGAAACGGTAAGTTTATATCTGTATGATAGCTGCACGTAGTATAAATGTTTTATTTATTACTATAGACACATTGGTCGATCAATGCCACAAGTAATGCATATGGTGAAGAAGAAATATATTCAAAAGGTAATCGTGTTATATGGTCTTATCCAGTATGTGATGTTCATTGTCCACCATTCATGGAATTTATAACTGATTCTGTTCCAAAACAAGTATGTTTTTAATGTATTTAGCTGTTTTTGATAAAGAGTTTTTCTTTTTGTTTTCTTTTAGTTACTATGGACAACATTTGAACAGTGTTCTCTATCATGTACGTATCGTTTTAGCTTCTCTTCACTTGATTTTTATCTCATTTATTGTTTGTGAAACAGGTGAGCACGGTGGGAAAGAATTTCCTGTTGTAGTTGAGCATAATTCGATAAGTGTCATTGGTATGGATAATGGATTGACCAAAGTGACATTACCATTAGTGGTATATTAATGTTATTCACAATTGAGTTGTGATGTATATATATATATTGCTTTCTGTTTTTTATTTTTTATAGATCTCTCAAATTTGGCCCTTTCAAGGCGGTTTAGTTATTGAACGACAAACGTATTAACATTTCTTCAATTGTAAACTTATTTGTTTATTTGCCTCGTTTTTATAGGAACGATCATTACCTTCCAAATTTGTTTACATTATCACATCCATTAGACGAAGTGAAACCAATCATATCAAGGTTGAACGGTAAGAATAAGTCACACTGCAAAAATTTAGATAAATAATCGTCTGTACAAAGAACTTCAAGACAAACAGATGGTTTGGTTCAGTTACTGCGCAAAAAACGATCTTTTTTCTACGGGTATTTGGTTTTACGAGGTTGTTCATATAAACAGTTTCAATCAGCAAGACAAAATGAGGGAAGTCCACCAACTTGAAAATCGTTTGCGGGCCAAAATCCAGTGGTTTATAGGTTATCGACGGTCCTGAATCCGAATATCACCATGAGACCAGCTGCTAGGCCTTGCATCACTTGGTTTTCTAGAAAACCAGGTTTCCAGAAACCTCAAAAAATCCCCAAAACTTTTTCTAAATCAGTCATGATTATAGTCCGCAAAATTAGGATCAAAATGAGACATCTCCCAGCTCTACACGACCTTTCTTTGCAAAGTTAAAGAATTTACAGGATGAGCCCTAAATTCCTTTTTCTTTCTGTAGCTCTGAGGTGACAATGAACATTTAGGGCTTATCTTGTAAATTCTATAACTTTGCAAAGAAAGGTCGTGTAGAGCTGGGAGATGTCTCATTTTGATCCTAATTTCGCGAACTATAATCATGACTGATTTAGAAAAAGTTTTGGGGATTTTTTGAGGTTTCTGGAAACCTGGTTTTCGAGAAAACCAAGTCATGCAAGACCTAGCAGCCGATCTCATGGTGATATTCGGATTCAGGACCGTCGATAACCTATGAACCACTGAATTTTGGCTCGCAAATGATTTTCAAGTTGGTGGACTTCCCTCGTTAGTCACGGAAACTCAAAAGAATGAAGTACTTTTGCTATTTTTCGTAGAAAAAAAACACTACTTCGAATAATTAAGAAACTTAGTATTCGGCTATCTGTAGAATAGAATTCAATAATATTAATTGTTTTCCTCGCTGTATAATTTGTTTTTTGTAAACATTAGGTGAATGGTTTTATGGATCGGATAAGCGTTCGTATATAACCAGTGGATTGGCAGCCGATGAACAGCTTCTTTTACGTTACGATGAAGTTAATCAAATTCATAGTTTATGGTTATTCCGAAAATGCACGGCTGAGGTAATGGCATTTCCTTTTTTGTGAATATTGTTCAACATTTGTTTTATATAGGATCGACACCAAGCCACAAACATGACGTTACCCTTCTTAGATCAGAGTTGTTTAACAACAGCCACAGCATCAGCATTTAATCCACAAAACACATCCTTTCTACGTGAATATCATCATCCGGCTTCTCCATCCATACTTAATGTTAGTCATTTTTCTCGTCGCGGAAGTCTTCTTATGAATACCGGAGGTTCAAATTTAGTATCAGGGGCAACTGCAAACATGGCTGCTGCTGCTGGTCCTACTTTATATTCAAATCCGAAAAGGCTAGCATCGATGGCTGCTATATGGTAAAAAAGACGTTTTCTTTTTATTTAACGTTTTAAACGTAACTTTTATATTTAGTCGATCACCATTAACAGAAACACTACGTGCCATCTCACGACCTCAATCACAACTATATTCAACGGCTGTTACTCCCACACCGTGTTCTATCAATGATTTTTCAACGTTGACAATAGGTGGTGGCTACTGTCCATCGTCTGTGATTGATCGTGTGGGTAGAAATGGCAGCTTTTTAGCTACATTAACGGCTGATTGTGAAAAACATCAATTGTCAATGCCTGATCCACTTAGTCCAGATTATTGCATTGAGTGCATATGGTCAGATTCCTCACTGAAGTCCTCAATTAAGTAAGATATGGTTTGAAATTATAACCATTAGATTAGTTTCAACTTTGTTATTTTAGAAACATTGTTTGTGCAACAAAGTTTTTTAGTTTACGAGATTTATCCAATAATAGATGGGTAGCTTACTTAATGCCCAATATAAACCAACTACGGTAAGAGAATAAAAATAAAAATGAATTACAGCGACTAAATGTTTCATATTTTTATTAGGCTAATTCTTCTTGAAAAGTATAGTGGAAATACAACGACTATACGTGCTGTACATACAATAAATGCGCATGATGCTCTTTTTGTTCCAGTATGATAATATTATATTTTTGAAAAATAATTTGAACTAGTATCGTTGTTTGATTTTAGAGTATCAAATTTTTAATTGTTCTTGACCAGATAGGAAATATTCTGCTATATTCCGGAACGTCAAGAGTACGTAATAACAGATTCGATGTTTTTGAATAAAATAAACTTCAATAATCATTCATATGATTCAGATTGCAAAAGTTCTTTTACACGAAGAAACAATCATGCCAAATCATTATCATTTGAATATTGCTACAATGACGCCATTTCAACATGTTCGTACATCAAGTAGACCAAATAGTTTTCTTCGAACACCACTGGTAAGTTATACTTCATTTTTCTTTAGTTATTTTAACCTCATTTTTTATCTCGTTTTAGAAATTTCCTCAATCTCCGGTAAACTCCTCCTCCACTCATGCAACTCCTTATTCAACTAAACCCTATTTCGATGACAGTTTAAATGAATTAAATCCTAATAACATTACTGAAACACCATCATCATCTATTGCTGTACAATCATTGAATTATCGTTCATTATCCGATGTACGCGGAAAATTATTTAATATCTGTTTTCCTGACAATAAATATTATTCTGTTGAACTACCAAATATATGTCGCACACCATTATGTAAGTTTCCTTTTTCTGAAATTATTTTTTTCTAAAAAGACTAAACCATTCATTTTTTCCAGGTGTATTGTCATTGAAAGCTGTGTGTTCATGTGTGCCTAGCGAAGTATTCAATCAATTTATAGCCACCTTCTATTCTAAAAATATTAATCCATTGTACGAACATTCACCAAATGAATGGTACACATTTGTCAGCACATTATTGTTCTTAATTGGATACGATACAAGAAAATGCACGTACATTAAACGAGTATGTAACATGACTTGACCCGTTTACTCTTCAACTTTCTTCATTATATTTCTTTCTTCTAGTTACAAGGAAAAATGTCGTCTCCAACACCTCCGCCAATTGTCAAAAAGACAAAAATTGATACACATGACAATGATGAGGTACTTTAGAAACAACTTTTTGAAGATAGAAGAATTATGACTGTCCAATACTCTAAATATTGAGTAAAATATTTCAACAGGATTCAATCAATCGAATATTTTAGAAAAACTTTTTATAACAACATATAAAATTTTTTCTAAAATATTCCATTTTAGCTATTTGTTATTGTGTTAGTGACTGAGAGTTTAGGCTGATAATTGTCATTCTAGTTGTAATGCTATCAGACAGGGTATTATACAATACCAATAATGCTGCAAGGTATAGAAAGGAAAACTGTACTTCACTTTTGAATGTTCAGAAAGGGATGATATGCTTAACTTTACACTTATTATTTGTAATAAAATTGATTATGTAAATATGCGATAACTTTTGGGGTCTTAACGTCAATAAAGATTTGTAAAGTTTTAGGACTGGTTGTTTGCCATATCAGAAGCGAAAAGAATTGATCCAAAACTGTTAAAGTTATTGAAAAAAGAAGATAGTCAACTATTAAACAAAACAATTGAATCAGAAGATCATGATGATTTATTTTTTATGACAATCAATAATCAGGATGATGATATTTGTGATGATGATGATAATTTATTAATTGATGATGAAGAACAAGAAAATGATGAAAATGATAATGATTTGACAACAAAAGAATGGTTAGCAATGGAACAAGATTATTCGAATGAAAATACAGATAGAAATACTTCAATAAGTAGTAATATATTTTTAAATAGAAGTAAAAATATAACGGCAGCCATTGCATCAACACCTGGTGGCGATAAACAACGATCCGCTCATCAAGAGCAAAAATTATTTCGTTATTCAAATATTAATGTCAATGCACCATTGTATACACATGCTGGATATATCTTTTGTGCATTACATATTGTCTATGAAGTAAAGTAAAATACCGGTTTATTTAAGCTAAAATTTTTTTACACTATAATCTACTGTGCCATTTTTTCTTCTTCTTAGGATCTATCGTTGAATCATACAAAAGAAATAATATCATTGTTAGAGTTACTTTATCTGTTGGCCTGGTAAATTTTGAATTATCTCACTTAGTATTCACTTAGCTTTCTTTTGTTTTTCTAGTGATTTTGATTTAACTGAGTATCGACATTATTATTTAGCTGAAAACTGGAAAATTTCTAAACGTGTACGAAAAAGTCATCAGCTAGCAATGAGTACGAAATGACAATAGTTTGTTTTTTTCATTCTAATTCTTTTACACTATAATTTTCTTCTTGGCTTTAGATTCTTGTTCAATGTATATGCCAAAACTTTTTTGCGCTTCACCACCGAGCTATTTAAAATGGTTACGTTTATTAATCAAGGATGATTCGACGTGTATATTGCAGCCTTTTCCATATATTCACGATGTTACGAATCGAATTTCATTATGTACAAAAGTAAGATTTTAAACTACTTTAGTGAACAATGTTTTCTGAATACTTGAGGATTTATTTCAGTTATTTTGTTTATATTTGTATCCAGCAGTACCTGATATTTATCGAAATTATATTTGTAATATTTCTGTAAACAGTAATGGTACGCAGATTTTAAAATAGATATTTTAGTGTAATAAATCATTATTCTTTGTTTTTTTTTTGTATATAGATATGACAACAGTAGAGCCTGTACAAATATCTTCGAATAATAGAGTCAGTTCATCGTCACCCATTTTATATAAAAGTCCAGATAATGTGGAAAAAAATACATCTGCTCGTTTTCACTCTGTTATTGCTGCATTTTTAAATGAAGGTAGTTATGTTTAATAACTAACTATTACATTATCTAAATTTAATATTAATATTAAGATTTGGTATATACAATTTTTGAGAATTTACCTTTATGTATTCATGCTTTGTTATATGAAGCAATTAGTTATGTGGCTACTCATCCAAAATTTAATTTATCACGAAAAGAATACGAATTTATTGGTAACTAATTTATAATAATAGTATATTGAGAATTTATTTATATATCTTTTATTTTCTATTCTAGGTCGAAATGATTTAATATATCATGATCCAAAATTATTTGATAAAAATTTTGATACAGGTGTCATTGCATTACGTAGTCTTGAATTAATACGTGTTTATGGAAAAGATTTTCATAATGATAAAACTCGTCTCGTTGAAAGTGAGGTATCAAAATTGTAAATGTTTACTAAAAAGATAAAATTGTATAGTTTTTCAATTTTTACAATATTTTATACATACAATATTGTTTTCATTTTTTTCATAGGTTTTGAAATTACGTTTTCCTGAAGATCTTCGTGTTCAGACGATTGTCGAATGTCTTCAATCGTCCACACCTATTTTAATTGATATTCCACAACGACTAAATGTTACGGAACAAGAAATTATGGAAGGAAATGAACGTTACTTATACAGTGTTGCACAACGAACAATGTCACTACCATTTGGAAGGTACATCTACTAATAACACTAGTATATAATGTTTACATCTAACTGTTTACTTTGGTTTTTTAGAGGCGCACTTACATTAGGTACAGTTTATGCTTCACCACATGATGCGTTTGTTATACCAGAATTGAATTTGAAAGGGCGTGTTCCATCATCGTTAGTATTTAATTTTTGTAAATAAAACATCCAAATATTATTTATTTTGTTATTCTTTTAGAACCATCACAGTGAATATGTCCCACATTGATGTACCACAGAATATAACACATTGGCCATTGTTTCATAATGGTGTTGCATCAGCAACAGCAATTAATCGTCATGCATGTGATATGGGAAGTAATTGGATACGTTCACAAATATTGAAAAGCAGTGATATTACAAATGAACAAGCGGGCTTTTTATACGGTCTTGGTCTCATAGGACATTTTAAAGATTTGCCAAAATCATTGATATATTCATTGTTACAAAAAGCAAATGAATTAACAATGATGGCATCACTATTGGGAATATGTGTATCAAAGTAGGTTATCTATTTTATCTTCTTCTTTTCCACGAAAAGAACATAAGTTATGAATTGACAATATTTCTTTAGTTACAAATCAATGAGTCTTAGTTTAACGAGTTTATTAACAATATATATTAAAAGTATGTTGCCACAAACATTATTTGAATGGGAAGTACCATTTGGTGTTCAGATATGTGGTATTATGGGTCTTGGTTTGTTATATGCAAATAGTGGAGATCGTTATATATCAGATATATTATTGGCTGAAATAGGAAAGCTTCCAGTTAGGTAAATTATTTAGCTCAAATATTTAAAATTTGTTATGTCGTTTTTTCTCTTTTAGTACTGGTGAAAAAGAAATGGTTATATTGGAACGAGAAGCTTATGCATTCACATCTGGTTTAGCATTGGGTACTGTTTTGTTCAAAGTAAGTTATTTATCTTTAATTACAAATGTTTATTTATTTGATTTTCTCTCCGATATCCTCTCTTATTTAGAAAGGTGTTAATAATATTAATGCAAAAGAAGATTTTTTTACAAGTGCATTATTAAGTTATATAATTGGAAAAGAGCGTGTTTACTCATTTGGTATATTACGTACACATATTCAAGTAGCTGAATACGGTTCTATGAATGCAAATATAACGGCAACGGGTGCAATGATTTCAATTGGATTAATTTATTTCAATACAAAAAACAAGTAAAAATATCTCATTGTTAGAGTCTATAGGACATTTCTATCATATAGATCTATGGAAGAATATCTATGTACATCTCAATAGCTGAGATCTTTTATTTATTCATCATTAATAATTGAAATATCATCCGTCTGATATATGATTAGCTATTCTAATGTTGTTTAGAGATATTGCAGAATGGTTTATGCCAAATGATACAATGCGTTTGATTGAATTAATTCGTCCCGATCTTTTATTATTAAGAGTAAATTATTTCTTGTTTTTAAAATTTTCTTTCATTATTACTTATTGTACTTTATTTATTTCATTAGGCTGTCGTGTATAATTTAATAACATGGGATAAAATTGAAAGTACAAATGTTTGGTTTGATCAACAAATACCAGAAGCATTACGTCAAAATGCATTTCGTAATTCATCAATAACAAAAATGAAAACATCCATAAATGCTTATGATCCAGAATCAATCACACAAGCCTATTGTTATTTAGTTTCTGGTCTGTGTTTTAGTTTAGCATTAAAATATGCTGGCACTTGGGATAAACAAACGACAAAATTAATTGTACGTAAAGACAATTACTTTCTTCTTTAAAATTTATTGTTAATTCGATTCTAGAGAGAATATTATAAACAATTTTATCAGTACATCGATCATTCATCAGATCAAGTCGAAAATGATTGTTATCCACCAGATCGCTCTACATTAGAATTCGTATTATCTACTTTAGTACTATCATTAGCTATGGTTAGTAGTTGTTTCTTTTGGCAGATTAATATGATTACACATTGTCTCTCTCTTTCTATCATAAAGGTCATGACTGGTAGTGGTGATTTACAGTTACTTCAATTGTTACGATCACTTCAAGCAAGAGTTGGTTCGGATTGTGCACATGTTACATATGGTTCACATTTATCTGTTAGTATGGCCATGGGTTTATTACTATTAGGTGGTGGACGGTAAGTCTCATCAACTATAGATTTTTACGTTATTTGTTGTTGTTCTGTTTAGCTATGGTTTACGAAATGATGATGACGCTATTCCAGTATTAATTGCAGCTTTTTATCCACATTTTCCTGTGCATAGTAATGATAATCGGTATGTAAAGTAGTGGCAGTTAGTTCAATTCGTTTATTTTGACCTCGTTTTTCTAGTTTTCATCTACAAATATTCCGCCATTTGTACGTAATGGTCTGTGAATCACGTCTAATGATAACTAAAGATGCTTCAAATCATCAGATATGTTCCGTTAATGGACGTTTATGGTTAGATACAAAATCATCTACTCACGGAACAATTATAGAAAATTTTCGAACACCATATTTTTTACCGAATTTCGTTTCAATAAAAAAGTTAGAAATTACTGATCCATCTTATTGCCATATATCTTACAAAAACGATGATGACATTAACCGTTTGAAACAGATATTAAGCCGTGATGGTTTGTTTTATGTACAAAAAATAAATTCATCACAAACAACAACATCTTCCTTTGTACAGCTATTATCCGGTGAACAAGAAACATTAAGAAATTGCTCTCATGGATTACAGTTGTATATGGAAATTAATTGTTTGTTAAATGATCCGATAAATAGTCGTCATGTCAAAGAAATGAATTCGTTAATTGCATTCTATGATAAGTATACGAAACAAAAACATCAATTAAAAAAATTAAAAATGGAACAAGAACAAGAAATGGATTCTACCAATGATGATATTTTAGACGATTCACTTGTACTAAAAAATCGATTTACAAACGTTTTACTAAAAACAATTGCAAGTATGCTAGATTAACAATACATTCTACATTTTCAGTCTTTAGTAAGCTTAGGCCTAAGGGTATCTCCCCCTTTTTTTCACCCTGTTGGCAAACGTTGAAGTGTAGGTCCCGTCGAATCCAATTTTTTACTAGAGCTAGAATATCGAGCAAAAAAATCGATTTAGTTTTGTCTAGAATTTTCTGCGGTTTAAGAAGTAGTTTCATTCTAAAGACAACGCTTTTCTCTACCAGACTCTGCATAAGAAAAAGTTTTAAAGGCACTGGAAACAATAGGAAAAACAACGATCAAAGACACAAACTTTATTCTAGCCTCATTTTGTGCAGAATTCAATTCTCTCTCTTTTATTATAGAAAAATGTTGAGATGGATTGCCAATACAGGAGCGTCAACATTGAGAAAAAATGGATTTTCACCACTGAGGTAGTTCGCTTATTTTCTATTTTTCCAACTTCCTCTACCTCTTCAATAAAAAATGAAGGCATATGTGAAATCAGCAGACAAAACTGAATTGAGTCATGTGTTACTCAAACATGTGTTATTTTAAACAAAAACTATTCGATGAATGTTTGACTGGGATCCCCTGAAAACGATTTGTCTAAAAAACGTTCTCTCTTAAAAATATTTGAGTAACACATGACTCAATTCAGTTTTGTCTGCTGATTCCAAATATGCCTTATTTTTTATTGAAGAGGTAGAGGAAGTTGGAAAAATAGAAAATAAGCGAACTGCCTCAGTGATGAAAATCCATTTTTTCTCAATATTGACGCTCCTGTATTTGCAATCCATCTCAACATTTTTCTATAATACAAGAGAGAGAATTGAATTCTACACAAAATGAAGCTGAGATAAAGTTTGCATCTTTGATCGTTTTTTTGCGTAGAACGGTTTTACTAACACAGTGTCAAAATTCCTGTGTCAAAAGTGTACCTTAATTTTGATCATAAAAAACTTATAACTTTGATCTTGCGACTAGGCCTGCAAAAGTTCAGCGTTCCTTTTTAGCGTTCTCTTTGAATATAACGCTAAAGCACGTTGGCGTTCTTTGAACGTGAACGCAAATGTTCTGATGAACGTGAACTTTATTTTATATGAACGGTGTCGATCTTGTGTGGAATGAATAGTATTGCAAAATGTTATATAGCAATTTCACCTAGTAGTATACCAAGTGAAACAGCTTTCTCCATCACCAATTTTTTAATGAAAAATCTACGCACGTTTGCCCCAAATAGGTTACGATAACAAAGGAAAACGTATGTAGTTACTGTAATGGTTTGGATCAAGGAACTTCGATTTCACTGCAGGAAAAACTAGTCTTCTGGTCAGGAAATCGGGGATCTGTTCTTGGACGAATCAGTATCTTGATCAGAGAACCAATGGCTATCCTTTTGACATTGCAATAATCTGGTCACTCCCCTGAGCCGACCATCCGATTGTCTGCTCAGGTGAACGATCAGTGATCGTTCACTAGAGTTTCTAGTGATTGGATAAGAGCAAGCAGAAATATGTATGTTCTTTCTACAGTGCAAGAGCAGAATTTTATATTTACATCAGACAATATGAACACCGTTCGTATAAAAAAAGTTCACGTTCACGTTCAAGGAATGAAACGTGAACTTTTACAGGCCTACTTGCGACAAGTGATGCTAATGGAGACATAGCGGTTTTACTGATCATGATCTTTCAAAAGAAAATCAAAATATTATGTACTTCTTCGAACGCTTCTCGGTCTTCTTAGAATTACACGATAGACCAATGACATCCGCAAATACATGATTATCTCATCGATCCAATGGTACAATGCATTTGTCAAAAAAGTAGAAGGGCATTGAAAATTTTTTTTATTACATGAGCATCACATAGGTATCCAGCGCTCAGACGTTTTAGTTTTCACAAGAACCAGTCCTAAGAGGCATATAGTCAGATGCGCTTTATAAATCTCTATTTACTGAAAGCTAATCGCTTAAAATTTTAAAAACCGACGGTATCGTTTGCCAAAAAAGATGTCTAAGTATGAGTTGTAATAGTGTCTAAAATATGAAATAGTGAGTATTAAACACTCGTCTTATTTAGAAACAAAATCTGAGTTGCTTAATGCTCTGAAAAATGAGGATGATCCAAGACGATATGGTTTATTACATCCAATTCACGAATGGTTACCAAATTTAAACGAAGAAAATCTAACGACACTACTTGGTAAGGAGTATTTTTTCAGTCGATGAATTTTTAAAGAATAGGTTAGTCCAACGCTTCAGAATTTTTCATTATAACCACATGAAATCAAATTTAAACTAATTTGTCGTGCAAATTACGAAAGATCGATTATTATTGTCAGTTGCACTTTCTATTTTAGGTGCAACTAGTCCAGCTAAATTACTACGGTGCGCTGTAAATATGGGACTTGATTGTGAATTAGCACTGCATTTATTAAATTTAACACAAGACCATTAGTTTTTTATCTGATTTTATCTTTACTTTTTTTAACATTTTTCTCTATGTGACCTTTAGGAAATATATTTTTGATACACAATGATCGTCCTGTTTTTTTGGTATTTATTTATACTCTTGTTACATTTTTTTCTATGTTTGTTATGGGCAGCGAGAGAAATGCCTAGTTTTTAATTCGGTCCTTTTTATTTTAGCAATAAGCAACAGACGTTAATATCCTGGATCTTTTTTCTAGTCAATTGATTCATTTATCCAGGGGTTTATTATTCATCTATTTAAGATTAATTATATTACTTAACTTCTTGAGATTCACCATGTGATAGTCTATGAAAAGTAACATAAGGAAATAAAAACAACCTTTTTTTAACCACTCAATCTCATAGTTGATAGACAAAAATGGTATTTCCGATTAAATAGAACAACGAAGAAAATATAAAATAATATATTTATCGTAGAAATATTATTATTTCGAGACAGATTTATCGTTCTATATTAGTCGAGCTAATGTTCATTATTTGATATGCATATGCGTTTATTAATATCATCTGATCCCTATATTATATTGGATCTAAACAGATCTTCTTTCGACTTTCTTTTGAAATTTTTCTTTTACGCTGATAGTTACGTTAGTACCATGCATTTTTAACACGACACATATCAACACCAGATAAAGATTCTTGCATATCAATATCGATAGATATCGAACTAATACCCAGTCATGCAAACACAAAATAATATAATATTAATGGGATACGTTCGAATGACTTTGACTTTTTTTATACTTATATAGAGATAGTACTAATAGCATGGAAACAAAATGTTCGTACAACATAAATAAAGGTTAGCCATGTAGGCTGTGTCATGTCACAAAATAGAGAGGTAAATATACGAGACGTTACAAAGAGTACAATACACGGGCAGCTACACCGGTACTTTTGATATATTAACACATTCAAAATGACATTACATGGTTAAATAGAAGTAGGAGAGGGTGAGACATTTCTTTTGTTTTAGATAAATAATCCTTTTTCTACAGAATAAAATATAAGTAAAGTCAGTATAGATTGTAAGAAATAATTAAGAATACGTTAAAGAAGTCCTTGGAAAACCGTATATATCATGGTAAGAATTAAATCTTCGTTAATGACAATGCTAACAGACAGTCGTTGTAACATATTTCTTTTATTGCAATGCACTTACCAAGGACATGAGTCTGTCTAGAGTCTGTTTACTGTAACTCCAAAACGACATCTTCGGTTCCACTAATTCCGGGTTTCGAACCATATTCAAAAGATTATATCAGGAGTCCTAAATGCTTCCATAGACAGATAACGAAACGTACTTTACACAAATGTAAACATTACAAGTACAATCCACCACCTTCTGTAACGTCGCTTAACGGAATTAAAAATTATCCCTGTTTCAAATGATGTTCCTAGGATGACTTATGACATTTTTTTGAAGAGAGCCTCAAACTTCAAAAATGACCCTCCATCGTAAAGCAGCTGTATTTCAGTAATTATTAAGAGCTAACAGTTCAAATTCATAGCATAGGAAGAGGAGAGTCAGGGCTACGTTTTGATAAAAAGAAAAAGTTTTCATCTCTCTTGAATCAAGAGTTATTAGCATTGTACAATGATTTGATAAAAACTACCACTTGTGTCCCATTTTAAGATTTAAAACTGCTTGTGTTCGACTATGCACTAGGTGCTCTATCTTTTGAATATACTAGTTAAACCCGAAATTAGTGGAATCGACCATGTCCTTTAGTTTAAATATCAAAAGCTTTTGTCTTGAACATCTATATTTGTAACAGGCTATTCTAAAATGATAACATTTGTTAAACAATTTGGTTGGCTTTTTAATAGCCAGAAAGTGTTACATTTAATTTGAATCCTTTGTAGAAAAAGAGCGAATGATCAAGTAGTAAGATGCTGCTACATGTAGCTGTTCTGTATTTCTTACTACGTTTTTTCAATCTTACTGCTTTACCAAAATACTGAATGCTCAAGTAGTTGTGCTACTTATAGCAGGGCCTCAGCCAGAAATTTGGTAAGGGGTGGGCATCTACAAAAAAGTTCCATCTTTACTAGTCTGAATTTCCATGTTAAAGCCCGGTCGAGCACTTTTTCTTGCGTTTTATCTACACACGGCATTTATCACCTATAAATTTAGTATATATTATACATTGAAGTAAAATCTCAAGGGGTGGGCACGTGCCCTGTTTGCCTACCCCATGGCTACGGCCCTGACTTAAAGTCTTTTTTACTAAGTTTATGTTATTTACAAAAAATAAAGTTTGAAACAGGGATAATTTTTAATTCCGTTAAGCGACGTTACAGAAGGTAGTGGATTGTATTTGTAATGTTTACATTTGTATAAAGTACGTTTCGTTATCTGTCTATGGAAGCATTTAGGACTCCTGATATAATCTCATTTTAGTGTGCGCTGATTGTACTGTAAACTTTGTAAAAGAAAATTCATCTTGATTTCATGTAGAAGTAGCTTACGACCTTTTAATTTAAATTGGTATAAAAGTTTTAATTTATTTCAGGCGAAATGTTTCAAATAATTTATACTTGCTTGTGTCTGAAGATCCGGTGTTCGAATTAATCCCTTATGGCTTGAAAAACTGTCTCGTGCACTTTGCGCACATATGATGCAAAAAGGAATCAGCTAGACATAATTTAAAAGTGCACCTCTGGTTCCGAAAAATGTTGAGTTTTTTTTCTTGAATTGGAACGTTAAAAGGGCGAAAAAAACTTTTATTTTAGTAGACAGAAATATGTCACATAGAGACATCTAATTGTCGATGGATGCGAACAATAAGCAGAAAAAGTGTCTTATTTACTTTTACTCTTCTAATATTCTTGTTTTCTCTGATCTAATTTTTCTTTTGCGTCTTTTAAGTCATTGAGGGCATATCTGAGTTTTTGAGAGTACCGAACGATCAATGTTTCAGCATACATTCGAGCTACTTGTAAATATCCTGTAAAAGGTAGTTTATTTCACAATGCGTTTTATCGTTTCATTTGATCGTTTAAAGACTTCGAGCCATTACACAGTGGGCATTTTTTGCTAGAGCAGGCGGACTTTAGCTTTATGAGTGAACTAAAATTTCAAGAACCATCTTTTTATAGATTTTTCATGATCCTCTTTCTAATGGCATGAGAGTTGGGTTTTGAAAGAGTTTTCCAGAGATTCGGTCTCTGGAAAACCCTTCAGAAAACTTTCTCAATATTTAAAAACTATGCCACTGAAAAGAGCATTGTCGAAAACCTATAAGAAACATGTTTCGAGTCGTTCACGTTACTTTATCTTGAAATTCAAATTTTCAGCACGAAATTGTTTGTGTGAATCTAGGGATGTGCAGTGTCAGTGTGAAACACTGGAATACTGGCACCGAAACCACCGACAGTGCAACACTGGCTCTACTCTCATCGGTGTTCACTGACACTGTGACTACACTGACACTGACATCACTGAAACACTGACTTATAGTCTCGTCGGTGTTCACCGAAACTGATTACACTAACACTGCAACACTGACTCAATCAAAGTAAAGACGCTATGCGCTTCACCCTATAGTCATCAAGTAAAGTGTTGAAATGAGGACATATGGCCTCTCAAAAAGCCTAAATTTGATTGATCTATAATTTCGAATAATAACAGTAACATCATAGGAATTTATCATTTCTAGTTTTTATGTAAATATATATATACTGTCTTTCAATTCATAGCGATTCTATTAGATATTAATATTCTTTCTTGATTGTGACATACTATATACAACTGCACTTTTTGTTTAAGCGTTTCAAAGTGCTTCAAAATTACTTGCCCACCCAAAAATAATGAAATTTCGAATCGATTCAAGGACTTCATTTTGAGCTGTGATCAGGTCCGTAGCCAGAAATTTTTCTAGGAGGGCGTACGCTAGTAGAAATGATGTTTGACCTTGCGAGCAGCTTTTTAGCCCTGTATCACCCTCCAGATATTTTTTTTCGAAGGAGTGTGCATGAGCACCCGTTGCATCCCCTTTGGCTACAGGCTTGGCTTCGGTGAGAATCAAGAGCATATGTTCTAGTCTAAGTCCAAGTTATATGCAGATTCGCACATTTCTATCGCCCTATATGATTGGTGTTCAGTATACTGAAACTGTACATCCCTAATAACATCGTAACCACAAGATAATTTCTCCATTTCTTCACAAAACGTAATGTTGAATAAAATCAGTTTTAGAATAAACTGAAATTATGAAATTATTTAGTTAGTTAGTTTGCAAATATCCAATGTAATTTTCTGCGCATTCATCCGGAAGATGTCGTAGTATTCTGTATATAAACTATAATCAAAGAACATTAGCACCGGTGTGTCAGTGTTGCAGTGTTAGTGTAATCAGTTTCGGTGAACACCGACAAGACTATAAGTCAGTGTTTCAGTGACGTCAGTGCTAGTGTAGTCACAGTGTCAGTGAACACCGATGAGAGTAGAGCCAGTGTTACACTGGCGTCACTGTCGGTTCTGTCAGTGTTCAGTATACTAGAAACTGCACATCCCTATGTGAATCTCTAAAACTAAGAAATTTCTAGAAGTCAAAGTCGAGCGACCGAAACTAGATGAGTTATACACCATTCGATGCAGTGTTTCACGCTGATTCCGAATATGACCTTACTTTCAAAAAAAAGTGCTTTTTTGAGGGAGAAAACTGCGAAATACTCGAAAATCCCCAGCGTTTTTGGAAAGCCTGTAACTCAGCACCCCTAGTGTTGGGAGACTTTGTGAGATCAGTATATGTAGAGGAGGTTGAGACGAACATTTTGAGCTATTTTTCATATCAATAGCTGCTCAGCGGAGTTTAGCGATTGCATTTTTATGAGGACGTCTTTTTTTTAGATGAGTTCCGTGGAAAGATCTTCGCGCGTTCCCCGAAATTTAACTTTGTCTGACGAAAATTTTCTTACGGCTAGATAGCCCAACAGTTGGCGATTCTATATATGTCATTGTTTTTGAAAAAAACTTATGATTTGACGGAGAAAATGCAATTTTACGCGTCAGCATACTAATTCTACTGATAATTTTGTAATTTAATTTTCTCAACTTTGGAAGAAGCTAGAACCAAAAACTTTTCACCGTTAAATAGGGCATTATTTATAGTATCTATGTCATCATTCAAAATATAAAAATTTGAACCTGCGATTTTCACCAAAATGCCGCCTAAATGCCCACTGTGCATTAGAAGTTTGAGATGAAAGTACGCTTGAATTTACATACTAATATGCGAAGAAAATTAACCATTGTTGTTCAAAATATAGTAAAAAAATTATCTATTTGTTTATTCAAAGTCCATTTAACTATCATTCAACAAACTGCTAAGTTAAATAATTTATCATCAACCGCTAGTTTCAAATCAACAATATCTTGTTCAACTGGTATTAACTTTCTGTACACATAACATTGCCGAATCGTGTACGCTCAACACATAAGACGTCTTGCTGAGAGAAGTTCAGACAGCACATGCGATAAAGTTGTAAGAATATATGCTTTTTAGAAAAAAAGCAATTTCCTGTCATAGTGAGAAACGTTCATCTGTTTCATCCTTTTTGAGCAATCCTCTTCGGTTGCAAAAGTACTCTTGTCACTTTATACAAACTATTCTGTGATTAGTTCTACCAATCTATTAATAGTCATCTATCGAACATTGTCGAAATGGTAAAGGGGTTGTTGACTTTTGTTCGATAATTTAATGGAAATATTCCGAACCCATCTATTTACAAGTTGACTCTCATTTTTGTGAATTTTTAGCCAGTCTTTACGAGACAGACATAGTGTAGAAACTACGAGTAGATCCTGATGTTAAATCATATTTAGAAAGAAAATGTGGTGCTCCACAAAACTAGGATCTCAAGAACCAAATAATAGCTAACTACACCGAATTTTGTGTGGATGTATGCCTACTCATATGTTGAGCAGTCAACAATTTTAAGATTTTTTCATTGGATAATTCGTGAGATTTATCAAAGGTTCATCGGTTTACTATGGTCCTTCTTTACTCATAATAATATAATGTATCTGCTGAGAGACGAACTTGAGAAACTAAAAGGCATCTTTACTACAGATTTTGACCTTAAAGGATATTTTAATTTGTGAAAATATCATCAGGAGAACCTATCAGAGATCGTCGTGGGACGAGACAAAAATTTTCTCCTACAGAAAAAGATTTTCATCCTATTATAAGCAGTCAAAAACTTTTTGTCCCGTAAGATCCCACGGGATCACATTAAATTTTTTTCTGAGAAAAGCTATTTTTCGTTGAACAGAGTTTCTACTGCAGACAGTAGACTTTGTTTGTTTTTCTAGTTTCGACTTATGAAACTGTCAAAATCTGCTTTTCTACATTATATTATACATCACAAGATTTGCATAGTAAAAAGATAAACTACTCATTAACAGAACAAAGTAAAAACAGTGATAAATTAAGAAAACAACAAAAAATGTCTGTCATTTTGAACTATTCATCTTTTCTACTGATCTTATAAATAAAATATTGTCTACTTGTTCAGAATTTAAACTTGCTCTTCTTTTGTTGATTACATTATCCCCACCACTGGATTGACATTCTACTCCTGCTGAGGTGGCGGGAATCGAGTAAGGTTGTTTCATCACAAAGAATTAATAATAATCCCATAGGATGGAATTTTTATCCTGTCTCGTATACAGAACCGTATCTGAAAACTTTCATCATATCCTACCTCGTCCTATGACTAGTTCGTCCTATCCCATCCCATGTATACTTTGAAAAATTTCGTCTCATTCCATAGTGTTCCGTGAGATCATGTGATATTCCATGAAATTCCCGTCTCTCGATGACCGCTGGAAAAGCAGGGGTGAATCTTGACAGAAAGCTTTGATATACCAAATCCCTCTTGGATCGTAAATAATTATAGCATTTCACTGGAAACAAATGGAAAGTCTTATGTCGCACAAATGATCGAGTCAAAGAGGCTTAAACTTGTTCGGTTATTAGGTACCTGATATGATTTTTGAGTTCCATGTGCGACTCTACTACCATCATACTGGATGTATTAATCGGAGAAAAAAAACCCATCTCATAGGTTATTTTCTTTGTGATATATTCTTGCTTAAAAACAATAAGGCTTTCTTCATCTTGTTATATATGAGCTGTCGATAAGAAAAACTTTTTGAGATCAATTTTACGTATATGATTTATGCACTATTGATCCAGGTTTTTCCGAGATCACTTGTGTTATCTTTTTTACAAAGTTTTGTAAACGGGATCACATCTACGTTTTTTCCGGAATTATTTATTATCTTATCTGTCGATTGCTATAATGGATTTTCTTTTTTTTTTTTCCATCTACTGTCAAGTATTAAATCTACTCCAAACTACGTAAAAATATTTTTTTGTACATATGGATGAACATCTTAGCAAAAGTAGCAGCTCGATATATTTTTCGTCTTGAGGCGCTCAGTGGGTTTTATGAAAATCAATAACTTTTATTGTAAATTTCGATTTTCAGTAATAATGATCTTTTTCTATAAAAACAAATGAAATATTCCAAATCAGCTCGTTCAACTGCATCGAGTCATATATAAAGCAACCATCTTTGCGAGCAAAATAGGTATTCAACTTTTGGGCCCCCTAAGGCGATATTTTTAAATGAGTCATTTTTTTGAAACACTTTTTTAGTTTTAACGAAGTATTGTTACTATTGGAGAACAATAATAATTCATGAAAGAAGGTTTATTCCAGTAAAAGCGGTGATGTAAACGAGCTAAAATTATTTAATGTGACCTAATTTTACTCATTTTACTTCATTACTAAACTATAACATAAATTTCTTTAATATTTAGATGAAAAAGAAAGTTTGTTTTTCTAAACTCTATTTACATGGGCGTTGTAATACGCCTGATCTATCAAAAGCATAATTCCGATCTAAAAACAACACGTAATATACAAATGTACGTTATGGTAAGCAAAATTTATTCGTTCTTTTTTTTCCAAAACAAATTAATGTTCTTTCATGTTAATTTATGTATTATTTTCTTTTACCTTTTTTTTATTGTCAAGAAGGATAAAAACTTGTTTATTTCACCACAAAGACTAGTATAGTCATAGATAATTAAAAAATTCTTTTTTTCATCTTTCGGATACCATTTGGATTTTCCTTAGCATTTTTTTTTTTCGAGAACATCGTGAATAATAATTCAACATTTCTGCCACTATTACTTAATTTAGGGAGTAGTACAGTAACATCAAAATTAATACCTCTTGCGTGTAAAATATAGAATGGATAAAAATAGTATTCGAAACGTACCGCCAACCCTTCTTTTACTCACATGACTGCATTTCATTTTTATTCTTCTATATATTATATTACATTGCATATATATTAGTGTGTGATTAAAATAAAAACCCTAACAACAGAAAACCTTTATTTTCTAAAAGAGGAAAAGGAGAACTAGGCGTCTTCTATCTGTAGATTGAAGAATAAAATGAGAGATCTTAGCGAACTCGAAAGAAGAAGAAAAAGAAAAAAAAATGGAATAACACAAAGTCAAACAAGCACATAGATAGATAACTAGTATGTCTAACATATTTTCTGTTTTTTTAAATAGAAAAAATGGAAAAAAAGACGTCATCTTCAAAATAAATGCCTCGATGCACATTAATCAGAGTAATTCAAGTTATTTTTGCTACTTTTATTCCTACTAACAGGATCACGTTAGTCTAAATCACTTTTTTATATTCATACGGATTAGAGGTAGAAATATCTTTTCTTTACTTGTATCTATTTCTTTCTTTCTTCTAACCTTCATTTCCTTCCATTCATTTACTTTTATTTTGAAAATTGTAATAAGAACTTGAGTATTCATCTTTACCTCTTTTGATGTCTATTCTATGATGTTGTTGTTGTTTCTTTACATTTCTATATCCTTTTCTCCTGATATAGATAATTTTGTCTATTAGAGTAATGGTGATAATGGGAAATGCTTTTGTTTGCGGTGAATAAGTTTAAAAAATAAAAACAACAAAGAATATAAAAGATTTATATAAACACGAAACAATGGCAGCCCGTTCTCCCTATTTAAATAGTTTTAATTATAATAACAACAGCAACGGTCATCATTCTCCAAATAACACAAACAATCGTTTTGCTGCTGCTGCTGCTGCAACCGAGTCGAGAGAGGGACGAAGGTGAGTAACTTTTCTGATTAGACCTTATAAGCTAGGATAAATTTATTTATGTTGACAACTAACAATTGCATCAAAGTACTCTCTAGAAGGTTGAAATCGACACTGAGAAATATTGAGTAAATTTGCTTTTTTATCATCATACTTAACAATCTTGTAAAGCATCTTAGTTATTAACAAGATTCTACCCTCAGAAGTTACATTTTTTCTTCAAAATTCAAGAATTTTGTGACTTTCAGAATTTGTATTACTTTTTCATAAAGTGTTATTTTATTGCACGGTTGTATCTGATGGGATCCTGCTGTTATGATGTATCGCTACTAAACGGTTATTCACTCAAAGATTAGAATCACAGAATACATAGATAGTTCATATTCTATGGTTGGATTTTCGTTGATTTTTACAAAAGTTTAATAGAAGACCCGAGGAATAGCGTTTTTAATTGCTCTCGCTCTACGTTCTATTGACTGCAATATCGACTTTTTTGAATTTATATTTTAAAATACATGCTGAAAAGTTATGGAGTGAATAATCGCCTAAAGCATTTTGTAGATTTAGATGTTTAGATTAGTTTAAAAACAAAATCGACCTTTCTAATTGCGTTGAAACGTCACGTCGAACGTTTTGTTTTGACCGTTACACCACCTAAAACTTTTAAACAGTTCAGCATTTTGAATTGAATGTATTTAAATGATTAGCTTTAATGCCTGGAAGCTTTGTTCCATTAGCATACACTGTGTAGAAAAAAGGTCGATATGGCATAGAGGTTTTTCTTGAGAGGGCTACTTTGCAGTCATATTTATAAGCAATCATAATAAACTTGTAAATGACAAACAAGTTTTTCTATAAGTTTTTTTTTATTCAGTCAAACATTACCTTTCGGTATTCTATTATATTTTGTCGTTTCTGATGCAAATAAGAAATTTGTTTCTAACCGGACTTCTGTTTTACACATTATTTAAAAGTAACAATTACTTGTCGAAAGAAATCTTCTTATACAGAATTGATATTATAAGCATCTTTATCGTTAATAACATGTAATTTTACTGATTTCTAAAATTGTCGACAGAATATTCCAGTATTCTGTTTACTTATACAAATAAAGTCAGTCTACAAAAAAGTGAACAATCCGTATCGATCAACATCCATGTTGTCGAAACTGGACGAAAACCGGCGGTTAACCACGGTTATTTTAAGAACCAGCTAACAGTTAACCTCACAATTAATCGGAAAAATGGTCGGCGGTTAACCGCCGGTTTCGACAACATGGGCAAATTTTAAACTAGTAGTGTCATAGAGTTTAGTGAACTTTGTTCTTTACATCGTGGCTACCTTTGAAAGGTTAAAGAGATCAAAAGTATTTATCAGGTTACTTCTTCCTCCTGTCACCTAGCTAAAACAATTATTGTAAAACTACGTATGAAAAAACATGGATCGATTTATTTCTTGAATATTTATGCATGTTTTAAGCCAAGAAAGAAAAAACAACACTTTAGCTTGATTGGCTTGATAGATGGTTTTTTTAATATTTACTTTTTGAAGAATTTAGTTTAATATTGTGTATAAATAAAAGAAAATTATTAATGCTAAGGTATATATTACTCTTGGCGAGAGAAAATTAATTAATTTCACTTTGTTACCGAAAGAATAGAATCTGAAAAACTATTTTTATATCTTTGATGATCGTTTTTATGCATCCACTATATAGTCGGATGTTAGTGTTACTTCTGATAATGTTAGTCCTATTATCTATCTTTCCTCGTAGAAAAAGGGAAATGTACATAACAGTGTCGTAACTAGGACTTTTTTTACTACTGGGCCAACTCCATTAGTTCGAAAAAAACGACCGGGCCACACTATGATAATTCAAGAAAAAACTGGGTCAAAAAATCTTTTTTCAACTTTTCAGCTGGTGAAATCACAAAGTTCAAAATCTTATTGGGCCAAGGCTCAAATCGCATTGGGCTATTGCCCAATGGCCGCCCCATAGTTACGCCACTGGTACACAAGTACAATATCTTGGCTTTATATATTTGTTTACAAAACGGAGGTGACAGGAAATTGTCACTTTTTCTTAAATTTCTCTTAACTAGTGAAATATTTTCAGATAGATTAAACCAAACTTCAACGAATTCTGCTGCAAAGGCTTCATGTATCTAATTTCATCTGGAAATGCTGTGTTATTGAACTCTTCAAATGTCCATTTTTCGTTTAGATTGACGCAATTATTCTCGTCACATTATCCTCAGTCTCTCTCAACACAACGGCATGATATGGCATCATCTTATAAACCATACTCATTTGATTCCAGTAATCCTATGGTTCAATATCATCGACAATTATCAACTAGGCCATTTTTTTATCCATCTCATTCATTGCACAATCACTCATATCAGCAACAAAATTTAGTCTCTTGTATTCCTTCTAATTCCGCTCAAATGTCAGTTCGACAGTCTCATCAAATGTCACTAGCCAATTCTATGCCAAACACTACAAATATTCCGGCCATTGATTTATCTAAAAAGCAACAACAACAATTGTCGTCCGAGTTCATGTATTGGAACACAGGTGACATACAAGAACAACAACAACAGTCTTCGATAAAAAACGGCACATTAACATTATTACAAACAGATATCAAAGAAGAAGCATTTGAACCTATGATAGATGACGGTTCAGAAGAAGAGTTAGTGTTAAATGAACAAGAAATTATCAAGAAAAAGAGCAAAAATCAAATCAAAACAGAAAGTTTAGAAACTTCAGTTGATGAAATTGACTTAACTGGAATACTCAAACAACAACAACAACAACAAATTGAACCAACAAAAGATATTCAGAATGATTTAGGAAATTTGTCGAATTATCAAAAGGTAATTCAACAACAAGATGAGCAAGCAGAACGAAATTCATCGACATCAACGCCAATGAAATCAATTAATAATGGGAGCCAACTTAAAAAAAAACAAGATCTCGTCAAAAAAGGTACGAGCAAAGTTTTTAATATTTTTGATTGTCTTATTCCACAAGCCATTGCTAAAAAAATGTCGTTCTCTTGTTTATTTAAAATTAATCATTAATATGAGATTTCTCGAGGGTTACATCATATGTTTGACTATATTTAAAATTTAGAAAATCTATAAGATACACCTCTAATAATAATAAGACTTTAGCTAATTCATTAAGTTCGAATAATGTTAATTTTGGTACTAACATTGTATTATCATGTTTGAATTTTGTGTTAGTTAAGAGAATCATTTATATTATTATGCTGGTAATTTTGTTCTCTAACAGTTGAGTACAATCGCTTAATTACGTTTACTGAGCTTTAAAAAATATTATTTTTCTTCATTTGTGTTTATATACCACACGTAGATTTAGTCTGATATTCATACACTTGTCGTTATTACTGATAATTAAATGAATTAGAAAGATATATGTGCATAGGAGATAGGTTTAAAGAATGTTATTCATCGTGTTTCCTACTTAATGGAAAACTCTAATGAAACTAATTAAATATTCAGCTTTATAAAGATTTTATGTATCTGTTCTATGAGGCTACAAAAAATATCCTTTTTCAATTATTCGTTCGAAGTTTTTTTTTTCGCCTATATACTTTCTCAAATTACAAAATGTCCTACGTTAAAAGAACACGATGACTTTCGTCTACATACAAGTACACGTGTACACGCGCACACGGGCACACAGGCACACAGGCACACATTCAATACATTAAATGTCTTCTCTCTTTTTTTTTAAATAGAGAATGTACGTTGGGTGTTGTTTAAAGATAGACAATAAAGAAAACGAAAGAAACATTAAGTATATAGTGATGGAGACTGTGTATTTATAATCGTGTCAAACGACATAATTGTATTACATGTGACAAGAACAATGTTTTTTGGCCTTTCTGTTGCTGTCTTTGTTTTTATTATGGTTTTCTTTTTCCGAGGTTATAGTCCCACTATCCCTTTTACGTCTAACCTTATTATTTTACCTAGTTCTCTCTATGCATATAAGATAAACCGTATAAATGATTTTAAAAGAAAAATTAGAGAAACGCCGGATTTTTGTCGTTTCCTTTCATTTTCATACGTGAGTAATAGAAAGGAAAGAGAAAACATATTATCATATACACATTTTGATTTTCTTTTTTTTTTTGTTGTTACAGCACTGGAAGACTGTCGAAGTTACTCAATAAACGGGTTTGAGCAAAATAGAATACGTATTATTTTCCTCAGTCATATTTGTTAAGTATTATATGTGTGTTTTTGAGTAGTCATAGATGTTTTTTAATACCGCACACACATACACGCACTATGTGCATTGCATTATTATACTCAACTAACTATCGAGAAAAAAAAGAAGAAAAAAAAAATAAATGAAAACATCAGCCGCGCGTCATATACGACGAATTATATTTTTTCCTTTCTTCTTCGTTCGTTCTTATTCTTTTGAAATATGACCTTAGATCACATTGCTCTTGTTGGCAGTTATATCTAAAGTTATTATTACAATTTTCAGAATAACAGAACAAAACGCGATATGTTTTTCTCATGCATGCGATACATAGAATTCATATTATTTGAGAAAATGCTATAAATATTAAAATTAAACTAAAAATATCCTTCTGATTATATTTTCTATATTTTTTCGACCGGCTGTATGTAAATCTAATGGCAACGGTGCCAAATAATACATCGACATCAGCTGATGACGGTGAAAAAGTCACGATAACCGATCTTGATCATACACAAATAAAACAACAACCATTCAGTCCTCCATTTATTCCTCCTCGTCATCATAATGAATCTTATAATGGGGAAGACGACGAAAAACAACGCCAATCGCCAAACGATGAACAACCACGTACGACTAATAATAAGCGCACTCATCCTACAACAGGTCGGTAGACACTACGATTACTGTGTAAGTGAGAGTTAAAAGTGGATAAGATCTCTAGTAGAGATAATGAGATCATAATTTTGTGTAATTTACTAAGACAAAGAACTGTAAGAAGAAAAAAAATTGAGTTTAATTAAATACTATCAATGGTTTCTTGTGTTAGAACTAAAACGGTAGTAAAAATAAATCAGGTCTCATTGTTATTGAGCCACTACTCATTTATTCAAATGAGATGTTAATTGAATGATTAAATTCTATGTTATTTTTGTTTTATTATAAAAGTAATTAGATAAATCTAGAATTTTGTTTTGAAATGTCCTTACTATCGTACTAGAATTCTGTGATCAATTTTGATGTTGCTTATCATGTTTACAATTTATCTCCTTCTTTTTGTGTAACGCTCTAACGATTATTATAACGCGTAAAATAAGTATGAGAAAAAGAAATGGTTAGAAGCCATCTTATGATAGTATTTTTTGACGCTGAAATGTAGGTGATGTCTGTGCGTAATTTTTTAAGATTTTGAAAAAAAATAGAAATATTTGTCACAGAATGACTTTCCGTTATTGTTACAATTAAGTGAGAAAAAGCATATGCTTTATGAACACAAACACCATAGTCGAGTTTTGTTTTTTGAAGGAATATTAATCTTTTTGTCGATTTATTTCCTGTAAAAAAGAGAGAAAACAAAGAGATTGTAAACGTATTACCCATTCGATTCGGAAATGATTTTTTTCTTCGAAAATCTAGAAGTTTTGAAATACGTAACATTCTCGTTTATTTATGATTAATTTATTATTCTTTTGTCTGTAGTTTGTGACTATGTCAAATCAGAGAAATAAACACTGTAACTTTTTTGCAAAGCACATTTTTATTTTATTCTTACTTCTTTCGACTAATTTATTATCTAATTATGTGATGACATCGATAGTAGGGTGTAGTGCCTTATCTTTTTCTTTGCTTGAGACCAGTGTGATTGACACACATGTTAACTTGTGCACTTTTGTCACGTCGTTTATGTCTATGTTACAAAAATGTCACTGAATAACATATGATAAGAGTAGTCTATAGTTCTTTACTACTCTCAAAACTTTTTATACTAAATGTTATAAGTATCTAGCGAAAGAAATTCTAAATTTTTCTCTAAGTAGTTTTTCTCATTTTCATCGTTAAAATTGTGTATGATGGTTCGTAATTAATGATGAAATATGAACAGCAAAATAGCTTCATGTTTTCAGATTTCTATATATATTTCTTTTTTGATAATTGTAAGCATGGCATATAATAGAACAAAGTCTTTTCCCCGTAATTATAATATGAGTTGTTTATTAAAAAAATGACTATGTTTTTGTTTTTTATTTCATTTATAGTTTCGGTTTCGCCGGAAGAAAAACGTCGTTGTGCCGTATGTAATGATATTGCATCCGGCTACCATTATGGCGTATGGTCTTGTGAAGGTCTAAAAGTGCATTTTTGTACATAGTAGTTAACACATTCTCTCTTCTTGTCATTTTTTCAGGATGTAAAGCATTTTTCAAACGAAGTATCCAAGGTCTGCCTTCAAGAAAGTATTTAGTTTATTATAAAAATTATTTTTTATTTATATTTTTATTTTAGGAACAAACGAGTATATCTGTCCGGCAACAAATACATGTACAATCGATAAACATCGTAGGAAAAGTTGTCAAGCATGCCGTCTGAGAAGGTGCTATGAAGTGGGAATGACAAAAGGAAGTAAGGAACTTTGATTAGTAATGTTCTCTAATTATTTAAATCTGTCTATTTAGCAACAAGAAGGGAACGAAAGTATAAACCTAAAGCAGTCTCTGTATGTAAAATAACTTCAACTAGTTCGACGTCAAATAGTACAGCAGCCAGTCAAGAAACCCAGATATTACAACCACCTGTTCCATTGCCACAGCCACCGAAACAGGTAAACGATACTAAAATTGATAATAATTAAGCTTATGTCGTGATTTCTTTTTATTTTAGCTTCAAGAACCACGTGTTAACAGTTCAGCCGAATTTATTACAATCTTATCTCAAGCGTCACGTTTAAATCTTCCAGCTAAGATAGATTTAACAAAACAATTAGATGATAAATACTTTTTACAATTGTTAGCAAAAATTTTCGATCAAGAATTGGTTGTTTTAATCAATTGGGCAAAGACAGTACCTGGTTATACTGAGAGTTTATCACTCGATCAACAAGTAACAATAATTGAACAATCTTGGCTTGATACTCTGCTGTTAGGTATTATTGAGCGGTCTGTTGAACATAGTGATGATACATTACATTTTGCACCTGATTTTACTATATCTCGGTAACTGAGTGAAATCGATCATTACTTAATGATTATTAATGCATGTATATTTATATTTATTTTAGAGCTCGTGAATTGAACAGTCCCGTTCTTCAGTGTATATGTAGTGATCTATTTAATTTAGTGCAAGCGTTCAAGGAACCTCGGACTACACATGAAGAATTTATTGCGCTCAAAGCAACCACACTAATTAACTCAGGTAAAATATTAATCGAGTTTTATTAAGAATTAATATATATATTTTTTTAGTACCATCAAGTATCAGTTCAACAAAACCATTTCGTACATTAACAAATCAAGTATATCAGTCTGTTCAATACGCATCGGACAGTAATCCACATATATATAACGAAAATTATATACGACATTTTTTTCTTCTTTTACAATTACCACACATAAAAATGCTTAGTACTCGATTAATACGTTTATTTCTTGACATGCGAATGTTAAATATATTGCCACAAGCTGATTTGCTGCTCGAGATGTTGGATGCACAAAAAATGATTGATATTAATAATTTAACATTGATAAATAACAATAGTAGTAGTGACGAAAGACATAATAATCAGCCAACATTTTCAAATACATCGCCTACTCAACTAGATAAATTTAAAATAAATACGCAAACGTCATACGCTGAATCTATTTCACCATGTATGGAACAACAGCAAGACCAGGTTGGTATTAAAACAGACGATATTGACGATGAAGAAGATTGTAATAGAATACAAATGAGTCGATCATATAAATCTTATAATGGTGCGTACAGTACATGTAAAATAGTCGTTTTTTTATTATCATAATTATGATATAATTCAAAAATAGCATTCTATGTACGCCTATTAGGCTGAGAGGTCTGCGTTAGTTTTGTGAAAAAGCGAGACACACTCATATGTAGTACTAGCACCATCCATATGATATGCTTTTTGATTCTTTGCTTAGATAATCCATATAATCAATCATTATCTTCATCAATGATGTTAAATGCCAATCAAGTCGATCGTTTTCATACCAACGCCACTTATCCTTATTCATTATCTTCATCGTCGTTAAATATTCAAACTCAAGATTCGTTTCAATCAGGTGCCTCACCCACTTCATCATCACCAAGTCTTCTGACGATGACTTATCCTCCACAATCGCGATCAACTCCAGCCGTCGTTCTCTCTTCTCCATCTTCACATCACTATTTTGATCATAATACAAATCATCTTTCGTCACCACAAGATGTAATGTATGAAACAACGACAATAGCACAACAGTCATCTGTACATTTACAACCAATACAAAAATTACCAAAATCCTACAAACGACAACGTCACGAAGATAATAGTGGATTTTCGTGATGATTTAGATGTGCTATTGTATAATTTAATGTTATGCTCAATTTTTAGAGTTCTTTTTTTTTCATTTCTTTCTCGTTTTTTTAGATAGGAAACCGGTCTCACTACAATTGTTTATATTTTTTTATTAGAAATAAGTTCTACTCTATTTTTCTACAACGACAAACGTTATGCTATCATTTTAAAAAAGCTTTTTCTGACACGAGTGCCGTTAGTAGTTTCTGTTGTAGTAAGAGACCTATTCGTTTTTGAGATTCAGTGTTGATTGTTATATTTTACTCTCGCAAAAATATTTAAAAGCTCACAAGTGTGAAGAATAATATTCCGCTTTTCTTTTTTTCTATTTTTTCATACAACATAAATAAAACTTATTTTTGCTCAAAAAGAAAATAAATAAAAACGAAAAACTTTTTATGACTACATTCTGATGTCTTCATTTTTTTTTTCGTTTTTATTTTCTAAATTATGTACTAAACAGTATTTTTCTAGTTTATCTGCTCAATCAGATCCGTTTGTTCTAAAACGTTTGTATTTGAGAATAAAAATGCAAGAGAGTATAGCGCAAATTCATTTGTCTATATTTAAGATAATAATACGAACTAATATCTTTTCCGCTATTTCTGTTGTTTTTTTTCAAATCCCGGTTGTTGTTATGCTTAATTAATATCCTTGGTGTTTTACGTTCTCTCACACCTCGGTGTTCTCATTTGTGCGTTCTAGTGTATTGTTGTTGATGTTGTCAATCGTTTTTTGTTGTTTTTTTTGAAACAGTTTTGACTTTGAGATTGTTGGGCCTTATCTACGCTTTACTTCTTTTGTCTTGATTTTTTTAATTAACTTTCTTCCTTATCGTTGTTGTTGTTGTTACGTTTGTATAGATGATAAAAAATTACGTTTAAACGTTGGTAGATTATCGCGAAAAATCTATGCAGTTAAATTTCAACAGCATTTTACGTATTTGTTTGTCATTTTTCTTATTTTCATGTTCATCGTTTTTTCTCAGACGAAGACCCTTTTAAAATGATAACTATTACTAAGAATATTATAATAGACGATCAGCAAGAATATAAATAAAAATATTTTCAACTGAAGCCTCTAGAATATGCCATGATTTTGGGAAAATTTTTACGGACTTATCCGTTTTTCAAAGAAAATAGAAGTTTGAGGTTTAAATTTATAGAGAGGTTTCTAGAGGAAACGACCAGATTAATCATCTTGTATATTTTGGTGTTTAGAAACCCCGAAAGTAGCGTTTAGTATCACTGAAATTTCTATCTTGATGATCACAAATCCTGATTTATTGATGTATACAAACTCTGAAAGTGGCGTTTACAAGCTTTTTTTAGTTTTCTTCTCTTAGAATATGGTCTCCTTTTTTAAGTAACTTCGATGTTACAATGTTATTCTACACGTGTATCATCGCATCGATAAAATGTCATCTTACGAAGGCCTCTCATGTATATAAATTATATATTGTGCATTGAAATAAATTACCAGTTTTGTCCAGACTCATCAATCTATATTCTTTATGTAGAAAAGAATCACAAAAAAAATTATGTGAATAAATGAATAAATATATCATTATTCATATTGATTCCCGCACATATATTTTCAATAAATCTCTTTTCTTTAGTGAGTCTGATTATTTATGTGACACCCTAACGTTGGAAGCTTTTACATTTCTTGCTCCTCAGGAGCAACGCTAACAAACTTTCTATGATATTATTGCTCTTGAACAAAACATATCAGGCTATCTATATCCACTTAAAGTTTGTGGTTAAATATCAGTCTGTTCAGTAACAAGCTATATTCTCAACAACTGTATAAGATGAGTCATTATGAATAGGAGATACTAAGAGCACAATTTAACATCTTGATCTGCCTCTTTATAAAATAAAAACGAAAAATTAAAGACAATATTAATTTTTTTCACTGACCATCATAATATTCTGCTTATATTTGAATATTGACTAGGCAGAATTTAAATGAGTCTTGTAAGGACAAGTTTAAAATTTGATTGAATTTAAAGTTTATCCATAACACATATATTTGTTTCTATTTTAATTGTTCTTCATAATGAATTTTATTCCTCTATGCATGATAAACATATTTAAATAAATAAGTATCAACATATTTTATATTTGATTATTCAACAACTTCGGTTTTAGCTGTTAATAACTATTTGAACTTTCTATTGTCCAACAGACATTTAAAGGTGAATATATTATTCTTCAAGGAACTGTTGATGATATAAAATTGTGTTCTAGACAAATACAGTTTAAAATTTAGTGAAAAATTTATCCACACCAAAACTCAGAAATATGATGAATTATAGCCCGTAATAAACAGGTTTTCATGATAAAAGTAGTGAAACGAGAATTAAAACATGAATTGAAGCATCGCAACTAAATAGCAACATCCGATCAAGAAAAGGTAGACATGTTTAAGACATATTTTGAAGAACTATATGACAAAACATTCCACAATTACACGCACCATTTCGACATCGACGGTGGAATAAAACAAGGGTCGATTAGCTGAAACAAAATTATTCACATATTCAAAAACGGAAGATGAATTGAAAAGTATTGAAATTAGGCAACACAGGTGAGTCATAATGGTTTTCACAACAAATGTTTAAAAAAGTGCACAAAAATTCTGTTACAAGTTTTACTAGGTTTTATTCACCAGTAGTCTCAAGCTAGGTTTCATACCACCAGAGCGGAAACTAGGTCACATTATATTGATACGATGTCGATATTAGTCTATATAAAACTAGACAAGCAACAGTACTTATCGCCTTCAACGTTAAACAATCATCTGATTTCGTGTGGTTTAATGGCTTACAAGTGGAAAAAGACAAAAGGAACTTCCACACAGCTCCCCCAGTTTATATAAAAGTATGTGCCGCCAAGATTTCACTTAACCGTCATAACCGTTAGACATACAATCATATGCGATCACAAGTTCGTCCTAGAACAGCTATGTTCAAGAAAGGAAAAAGTTTGCAGTTATATACAAGCAAGAGTGCGAAACATAACGATAGTTCAAGAATTATCAAGATCCTGGTACAAGAGCTCAAGAAATTTCAAAATGTTTAAGATCTTCAGTTCTTGAGATTTCTTACGTTTTCTTACCAAGATCTCGAGTCAAGATCATACTGAAAAAAGTCAAGAAGTCAAGATTTTGGTTGCAAGAAGTTTCACTAGGAGTTACATTAAATTGCGGATACCGAAATTAATTTTATAAGACTCCAGACTTCCAGTCAAGAGAATACACTTCTCTCTCTAGTAGCAAGGGCAACTCTTAATTTCACAAGTTCACCTCCCGACGTATATTCCATTACTGTTTAGTCAATCTCAATGGATTTCTGGAAAAAAATTAATAAATCTAGTGAAAACGTATTGCGTCGAAATTACATTCGACTGACACTATCTGTTGCCGAAAAAATAGCTTTTCACAAGTTTTTTGAGAAACAAACATTGGTATGAGGCCAGGCGTGTCCGATTACATATGTTCGAATTGGTTCTAAGTATTTCAAAAGTCAACAGATACCAGTCTTGGAAGTCTCAGAAAATCTGATGCCTGAACCACTGAAAATTAGGGCCTCACTTGGATCCGATTTTCGAAGAGGACAGTTAGGACTAGCTATCCATGATAAAAACAACATATTCCTGCAAACCCTACGTGAAAACGCGGTCTTCAAACTTATTTTCTTAAAAAAATGTCACGCGATGAAGACCATTATAACAACTTTTATACTAACATAAACTTTCTCTAATCCTTCATTCACGAAGCGTAAGCAAGACTTTTTGAAAATAGCTGAGAAAAGCAATTTTTAAAAATTCCACTACTCCATCAATTCTTAGCTTGATTTTTTCGACCTCGTTGCCACATTAGAAAATGATCAACAGTAATAACTTTGTAAAACTCTTTATAGATCTCATCAATGAGAGTAAGTTGTTCGCCTACCACATGGCGGCAATCATGTAATTTGCGTTGTAAATCTACTCCAGGTGAACTTACACGCTCTAAACTTGCCATGGCCACGCTAGATTTTCCACGGGCAAGACACGTTACGTGGCCGTGGATGTGGTCATGCGTGTGGTAAAGCCCCGTCACGTGACTTGCAAAAATGCTTGCGAGCTCGCCATGCCATGTGACTTGCTTTTCTGACTGCCCTAGAGAATGTCCAGTTTGCCTGATCAGACCACTGGTCAGTAAACTGTAAGTAAAAAAGTCCTTGTTCTGTTTTTTTCCTGACCAGTGAAAGAAATCAAGAACAGAACCTGCATTTTGGATAATCATCACGCATTTAACTAATACTCCGGCGTTAAAAGTGGCTATAGCTTTTTCAGGTCTGATTATATCATGTTTTTCTTCGAGAACATGATGTAACAGTTTTTGAGATTTTTGTCAGCCTCATGATCCCCTTAGAACCTCACAATCTTTATCTGCAAATGAAAAAAGGCATGTTGTTACGGAACTCAAACATCACTGATGTCTTTGAAAGACAAAGGATTCAGTGTGAGTACACAGCAATTTTGGCTCTCTAATGTCTCATGTAAACATTTTCGATCTGTTTTATGTTAATAATAAGCTCTGAGACTTCCAGTCAAGAAATTTTCTATCTTAGATGAAGTTTTCTATTCCGCTTCATGTGCTTCTCAATTATGACTCGACGTATACGGGCATTTGATCTCAAAATAAAGGTGAAAGCAGTTGATGTTTTATGGTTCACGTGTGAATATTACTAATAAGATAACGTTTGCCACATGTGAAGAAAACATTCACGTTTGAACTTTCAGAGAATGTATACCCGTAGATATTATCGCTAAGATCAGTCAATTTAATATTCTGTGAATCAGGCGGAGGAAGTGGCTGACCCCCAATCCTCTATGTATCAGACAGAACCGAACCGATCATTGCTACATCCTGAGAGTCACTAACAACAAAGCGATCTTACACCGAAGATACTCACAATCACTATAAAAAACATCAACCTTTAATGCATTTCTCACTTCTTGCATTTTTATTTTGGGATCTTTGCGCAGTCTATACGTTTAATTGAGCCTATACATCAGAGAAATACTTATACACACTTCCGGCCCATTTTTGGTACCCAGGCTAAAGGAAGAATGTTCAACTTTGTGATAATAAGTGTGCAAGGATTTAAGTCTCTCTACTCTATCACTCACTGAAACTGTTGTACACTTTCTCTGTGAATTTAATTACTTTTTTTATGCACCTATGTACTTTGAAAAAGTAAAAAAATGCAGATTTAATATAAACTGCAAAAAGTTCAAGCAGGTTGCACTCCATGTAAAAAAATAAGAAGTGTCGTGTATATAACGAACATTTTTTTGTATGTCTTTTTAGAAATGAAAACATCTTCAATCACGCACGTGTCTGCCGTATAAACATTTTAGGTGGACTACATAAACTATATACATCGGGCTGTTAACGTGCAAAGAACTGAAAATAAATTCTCTTGCGTTCTTGCAGTTAGAAAGAAAAGTAGCTACAGCCTAAACAAAAGTAGCTACAGTGGTTAAACCACTAAACTCCTGATCAGTGCCTGTTTTTGGAAAATGTCAAGACCAGTCCAAGATTTACTGTTTATCTGATCAGTAGAAAAAATATTTTCTTGACCTCCGTGCAAAAAAAATATTTTATCGGCACTGGTTGTGCACGGGTGCGCACCGGTGCCGAATAATTTTTTTCTGGGTCGATGCGCATCGGTGCTAGAAAGAATGTAAAAATCTTGCGCCGGTGCGCACCAGTGCCAAAAAGAATGAAAAATCTCGCACCGATGCGCACCAGTGCCGAACTTTTGTTTTCAATCACCATTTTGTTTTGTCAGTTTCTGTCTTTATTAACGCTACAGTCTACTTCTAATATTTCGAATGTCTTCCTGACTTCATCTTTTCCTTCTCATAAGAGGCAATGCCGCATGGTTTTGGCATGTAAATCTGGCACTGATCAGTGCCGCACTCTAATACAAAATTCAGCATAAACAACCACGATAAAGAGCTAATTAAATTGATTAAATAAATTATCAGTGGGGCACTGATTTTTTACCAGTGCCGCACTGGAATTTTTTTATAGTGCTGTTCTTATCACTTTCTTAGTCCGGTCTTGAAGCCGATCAGGACAAGAAAATAAAAACAGGAAACAGACAACTGTAAGTAAATAAGTCTGTACCCTGTTTTCAAGACCAGATAAACTGGACATTCTCTAGGTTGATATTCGCCAATGATCAGGTGGATCATTGGACTAGTTTTTCATCGAAAGATAAATAAATACATGGATAATACAACTTTGAAGTACCGAAGAGAACCTAATGTAACAGATAAGCTTATTAAGCAAAAAGAGTGAAATTTCAAAGCTGTTCTTGTCGAAAATATATGCAATTAATCTGCTTTAAACCGCTCTACCCGAATGCGGGGTTTCTTTGTGGGGGAAACTAAACGTTTTTGAGATGTCTTCAATTCTAACAAAAGCCAAAACATTTTGAAAGCTGAATTTCGACTTAACGAAGACAGACTAAGCTGTAGTTTTGGTTTTGTTGAATCGGGTATGAAAAACTGCATAGTTTGGCCAATCTCCCGTTAACTTGGGTTAGGTGTTTTTTTCACCGATTTTTCTTTAAAAATATGAAATTTCACAAAACTGTATTTTGAAACAGAATATTTTATCGTCAAAACTACTTTTCTAAGAAAAAAAAAAAAGCAGTCACCTTGCTAAAAAAAAGCAGTCATCTTGTTCAGCTTTTTACGCTCTACTGACTGAAATACAGTCAGGTAGGACGGGAAAACATCTCTTGACTGTAGTGTGACGTCCTCTATCGCTTTTAGGATAATACGCTGTTTCTTTTAGTCAACAAAAGTGCAACTTTTCGCCAAATATATATTTTTTTCAAATTTCGACGGCAGCTGCTATTGGCAGGTAACTTAATGTAACAACGTTTTTTTGATCTTGCTTTCAACAGGAGAATTTGTCGTTTTTATATTTGTAAGCTATGACCTGTGATCTACACTATAAGAGTTGACTTTCGGTTAAAAAAATCTGACTGGAATTGCTAAGGAGCAACACCAATCAGATTTCTTAATTCAGAGTTAACTCGCATAGTGTAGACGTGGTATCGTACTGTTACCAGGCCTCAGTGAGACTTAGTGAAAACAACATATGTTTACGTTTCCTCTTCAACTCCGGACACTAAAGGTTTTCTGAAAATTCTATAGAGATCTCATGTCAGGATCCAAAGGACTCAAGTAAACACTATTGGACAATTGGTCAGTTATGAAAAGCGATGTCCTGAGGATGATGTCAACCTGTTTGTTCAGGCGTTACTTTGCTACAGAAAAAACGCTGAGAAGAGTTCGATTCTACACGAGAAGATGGCATGAGTTTTTTTTTAATATTTTAGTCTTAAGACTAAGACTAAGAACAAGTTTCTACGATCGCTTACAAAAAGCAGTTCATTTTTCGCACATATCTGTAAACAAAACGAAAGTTCTTTGAGTGGTAGTGTTTGTCGAATTCGTCAAAAGAAACAATCTCGGGTTAGTTTTTATAATCTAATATTTCTGTATTATATTATAACAGATACGTTCGTTCAGCATGTGATAAATCGCCAACATTATTCAGGATAGTAGCCCGAAGATTAGTAAACAGAGTACGATGGAGAAAGACTTAATGTAAAGTTTTAGCAATGTTACAAACGGAACAATTTCGATTTCGAGCATAGTTTCTTGTATTTTGATCCACTCCTAAGAAGCTGAGGATCGTTTCAACAATCTTCTTAAGATCATGAACTTGGGCATAGACTTAACTCAACATTTAGTTTGTTTTAGTGTTTCATTTTAGAGCATTAACGTATTACAACTGTGGAAATGTCTGAAGTTAATGATATTAGTGTATGTCTATCGGAATCATAAGTACTTATCAGCTGAAAGATTTCGAAAGAAAAGATAAGATAATATTTTTAAACAAAAGAAAAATCCTAAGATTCATCTGTAGCTTGAACGTTTGTTGAAATTCTATTCTAAATAGAATATCTCCTAGAACCTGATCCATTAATCTAGCATAGGTTTTTCTATGTTAATTACAATGTCAATAACATGAGAATGTCCAGTCGGTTTTTATAAATAATAACATAAATCAGTAAGATATTTCTCTATTGACTTATCAATAGTAGAATCTCTTACTAATTTATGTTGATCCATCCGTCTACATGCGTCTGATATTATAAAAGCTTCTTGATACTGCTATCTTAAAAGTTTAATATTCGATGATTTAGCTTTCATTTTCTTCCTGTATGAGATGTAAAAATAGATTGAGCATTTTTGTTATTGATCACCTTTTGCTATTTGGTACAATAAAAGATAAAAATATTTTATTTTAGATAGTATTTTCTTTGAACTCGATGTTGTTTGCCTAGATCTTGTTCTGATTATCTAAAAATGGATGAACATCAGTGTACCGATGGTAAGCTCTTTCTTCTGATAGCAGATGTAGATAGAAAGTATTGCTTTATTGAATCTTAGGCTCGTCAGTGAGCACGTGTCGTGATATGCAAGCACGAAAGGAAATAGAAAAATTGTACGAAATAATTGATGATCTAGATGAGAGACTTGAACGTATGAAACGATACCAACAACGTCGCCATCATCAGCTTACTTCAAAATTTCTATTGCTTGATGATGGTAAATATTTCGAGAAAAGTTACTGACAAGTATTTTTGTTAATATTTATTTTTTTTCTAGAAAACAATAGTGAAAACAATTTTGATAAAAAACGTGACAATAGTATTGAAGGTTTGTAGAACACACTACAAAGTAAGTTTTTTGATTTTTTTAATTTGGAATTTCAAATAGATATCGAAGATGATCAGAGCGCATCAGAAATAATCGACAATAATTCTATTTATCAAGAAGGTAAATTTTATTTCCTAATTCAACGTAGGTAAGAAACAGTTGATTATCTTTCTTAATCCCTCCAAATTTTCGTAGATGCACACAATGGATTGCAATTTCTCTTGAAACTCTTGTTAATAACGTATAACTATCGAAGAGTTCTTCTCAGAGAACACAATCTACTTGTCGTATGAAAACTACATCTGATAGTTTCGTTCTATTTAGATGAAGATCAAGAACCAGGAGAAATAAATGATAAACAGCAAGAACCTCAAAAACAACAATTAAATGCAATGGATGACTTTTTATTTGATCAGTTAAATATTATAAAGAAACTAGATACACCGAATGAGAAAAAAATGATCCATGATACGGATTTAACAATACCGGCAATGGTGTACGCTTACATTGAACATAAATCGAAAAAAATAGGCTATTTGAAATATTGTTCAGAAAATACAGACATACTACGTTATATAGCAGACGAATCACAGTCAACATTTAATACAATGATAGACCGTGATAAAATTCGATCATTCGTTCGAGAATATGTTGCAAATAAACCAACAACAGTTATCTATCGTCGTGTTCAAGAAGAAATTCGTGAAATTCATCGTCGATATTTACGTTCACTGGGTAGTGATAATCAATTATGAGTTTAAATGTTTTTTTTGTTTTGTTTATTTGTTGATGAATACTCAATAACTGTCAGATATTTTTGCTTTTTTTTTGTTTAAATTGTACTTTTGTTTCATTTTTAAAACTACTGAGCTCAAGATATATCGACTCTAACGCTTTTACTTTTATACTTTGACAATGAAAGATCATGACTATTAATTGACTGTTCTACAAAAATACTACTTGTTTTAATCGTATGAAACGGGTCTTGGCGTGAACTCCTTGGATAGCGAGTAGATGGTTAGAAAGTTTTAAGTCTCAAACGTAGATCGAGCTTACTTATTTCCGTCTTTTTTGGGACTCTTTCTTAGGTATATGTAATTCATGAATTGGAAACAACTAACTATCAACTGTTGTAACACGTATTCTTATTGATGTAAAATGGCTTCCACCGTTGATGGAGAGTTGTTAACCACATTTTAGAGAAAAGCAAAATTCGTTTTCTCTCGTATCATTTTCTTGCCTTAAGAACTTTTTTCTTTTTCATCCCGTTTTCTTAACTATATCCAAGCAGAATTCATTACATACAAAGATTAGTAGTTTTTAGTATATCAGTAAGATAATGCCGCGAATGTGCAGAATGAAAAAGAAATAATTATTTACTGTTCATAGTAATAAAATCGTCAAGTTACTTCATTTCTCTATTTTATTCTCTTTTTAAATGTGTTATCTCTTGACAATATACGTTCATTTTATCCACGAGCAAAAAGTTCTGATAATTATGCACAAATGATGTTGCGGCTATGATAACGATAATTATTTAAATTTTTGTGAATTTTTACGTGTAGTGAATATCAGTCAAGGTTCGGATGAAAAGTTAAAATTAGAATTAGCATAAAAGGCCTATATTATCGTAGCGATAGTCAAATACAAATGAATTGAAAAGAATTTATATATGATGTTCATGCTATTTTGGATTTAATTGAAAAAAACATGATGATAATAAAAATCGCACCAGAAGATATATTAGAATGGGCAATGAAGAAATTATCATTAGATGAAAAAAATGGAATTGTTAAAAAATAATTTGTTCGCCGTTGAGCTAATCATGTATTGTGCATATCTTTATCATAGGACTTGAATTCATTGACACTACCACAAACGTGTAATAACCAGATTTCTGCATAGGATTGATTTATTACCAAATAAACAGCCCCGCTATGAAATAAAAGTATATTAATCCCTTGCCATAGAATGACATGCTGTTCACGTCACGAACTCTCCATCACATCGAGAGAGTTTGACATGGTTTGGTATATTTTTTTTCTGTCACAGAACTACTTAGCAAGCTTTGATTTGCACATAGATAGATAGTTTGAGGTGCCTATCATCCCATCCAGCCAACAATAAATTTTCAAAGTAAGATTAAATCGGCATAAAATTGCTTGCAAAATAAGGGCCAAAAAGTTTTTTAGAAAATAAAAAAATTCTGGCATCTAGACGTCAAAACAAATGAGTCCTTTGGTGGAGGATTTGATTCTCTAATCGAATTTTTGGAAAAAATATCTAGTTCAGGAAATAAAATTTAAAATTTCACCACGAAGATGGGACTTTCATTTGTTTTTGAGTCCAGATTTGTAATCACCGTGAAAAACTGCGTCTAATGATGTATTTTTAGGCTTTGTTCAACTTAAAACAAAAATTCGAACCTTCTCATCCGAAAAGATTTTCACTTCGGGTATCTTGAATAAGGGAAATAATACTATGCCAAGAGGTTAAACAGTACCAACGCATATCATAACTAATCTCATATTGTAGTCTGAACTCTTTGTTGTTAAATACTTAGACTTCATGTGTACAGCACCGTGATCTTGAAAAGCACAATCCACATAATTTTACTGGCTTTTTCGTGTTCAGAACATGACGTTTATACAGGTCGTTTGCATCCATGATTCTCATAGACTGGATTTTATGTATCATGGTTTTAATGTCTTCTACTTATGCTACTAGTCGCACGCGATTAGTCACGTTGTTTTTTTCTTAAATGTGGCATCAACAATATGACTTGGACATGGTCTTATAAAAGAAGTCGGGTGCCAACGACCTGTATGAACGTCACGTTCTGAACACGAAAAAGCCAGTAAAATTATGTGGATTGTGCTTTTCAAGATCACGATGCTGTACACATGAAATCTAAGTATTTAACAACAAAGCGTTCAGACTACAATGATCAATCTGATTCACGGCTGGAACCGGATCGGTTTAGAAAAACAACCGGGACGGTAGAGACCGGTATTTCATCCAACAGTTGAAACTTTTGAAGAATCTACTCCTTTGATCCTCTTTTTCGTCAAAAAACTAAAATTTCACGTCGTTCTCAGTCAGAATAAATAAGGCGATGCTCAAGACAGAGATTATTTCCATCACTTGTTTTAAAGTTAATTGTTATTGACTCGTTATTGTGAAAGTTCTCCCACATGTACTTGCAAACTATTTCATTTCTTGGAGAAATTCTTTCTGAAAATCGATTTTCAAAAAACTTCGCTAGACTTTCGCCGGTATTTTACCGGTTTTCCAGCGGTTTGAGATATAGTTCCAGTCGGTCGGACAGGACGCATTTACCGTTTCCCAATCGGTTCCGGCACTGATCTGATCTGCTGCTTGAGTAAGGATGACTGCTCTATGAAGCTGTGTTATTTCAAGAATTTATTATTATTTTTAAATTGTTGACATGTTGACGAAAATTGATCAATAACAGTGATCAAAATAATGATTAATCTTCGAAATGATCAATTCATAGATGTATATATTATAAAATCTATTATTTTCATATTAGACATTATGAGCCTCGAAATCGTTGGATTGTTCGAGCAAAATGTTACCTATGATGAACTTCATCAGGTATGTTATTTTAGAGAACAACGTAATATAGTCTATAACGACAATCGACATTTCTGTTTTAATTTCAGTTCTGAATACTTTTTTTACTAATATATTAATTCTCTTGAGAATAAGAATAAAGAAAAAAAAATTTCCGTTTTTAGTTTCATAAAAGCTTTACTTTTGTTTCTATTTAAATAAATATGCTGCATTCCTAGATTTTGAGCAGGACGAGAATAAAGTAAACATACTACATATTTTGCCACACTAGGATTTCTATTTAACCAAACATCAGGATGACAGTAGTGTACAAATGAAGAGCTATAGCGGCATAACGAACCTGGGATCATATATCATGACGGAGAACAGTTGTTTGAAAATAGAAAAGAGATGCATTTCTTCGTTTCACCTTATGATCAGACGACGAAAAAAAAAGAATTTTTTTTCTTTGTATGTTCTGTAAATATTCTATTAGTAGAGACGGATTTTTAATATGATTTGTAAAGCATCGTCAAATCGACTTTGAATAATGCTAAGGTGATGGAGGTGTGTAAAATGAAGAACTATCATGCATTCGCGTACAGAAATAAAAAAAAGTACACGTAACCTATAATATGAGTAATGGCAGGACTTTTTTTAAACTCATAATATTTATTTTACTGCACAAATTAGTTATTTATTTTATTCAAAATTTTGAAAATTTTTATTCTAACGTTTCGAGCCATCGACTTATCAATATATTAATATATACACTGTAGAAAGAGAGATATGTACATTTATAATGCATGTATAAAGAAAGACAGAAGAAATACAGCTATATAAATGTATATGTGCTGACAATTACAGGATAAGAATGTCAACACAGAAAACATATGTATAAGAACTGTCCAAGCAAACTAAAATAAAAATAAAAATAAGAATAATAGAAATATCTCAGATGGTCGCATCTGGAAAGAAAATAACTATTTAAGACGTAGGCACCAACTAGCTAAACGTAATTTAACACAAACTAATTACTCTTGCAGTAAATGAACTACAAACTATAAATCTAAATCTGCATTACGTAAACGTTTACACACACGTTTTACAAACCGGGCAATAAAATAAATATACTGGCTCACAATAACAGAAACTGCAGATTACTAGTACGAGAATCCTTGGTTATAAGAGAAATCTTCCTCAGTTTAATGGCACTGATAGATCGGTACCTCTTTTTATATATCCTGAAGGGATTTCAAGTAAAATTTCTAGAGTAAGAAAGAAAAATTGATGCCCATTCTTTCTTTGCTTTTTTATTTCTTTTCTATGTTTCTCTCACTAGTTTGTTTGGACAGTTCTTATACATATGTTTTCTGTGTTGTCATTCTTATCCTGTAATTGTTAGCTCATATGGATTTATATAGTATTTCTTCTATCTTTCTCTATACATGCATTATAAATGTACATCTCTCTCTCTCTCTCTCTCTCTCTCTACAGTGTATATATTTTCTCTAATGGTGAGTCGGTGGCTCGAAACGTTAGAATAAAAATTCTCAAAATTTTGAATAAAATAAATAACTAATTTATGCAGTAAAATAAATATTATGAGATTATTATACTTCGGTTCTATATGCATTAGACCTAGACAAACGCCTAGTTAAGCATCCGACTTTTGACCATTAGTAGATGTTATCAACTTTATTTTAAAGCCTATTTGAGCGTATATATCTCCTCCACGTTTTATTTTTGTGATTAAAAGATACAACTGATGAACAACAACATATTACGATAAAAAATATTATAAAGTACCTTTGCTAAAAATTATCAGTGAAATTGTTGAAAAAAATGAAGATACACAAAACGGCACATATATCGAATTTGTTTTAGACGTAAAGTGTCTCAGGTAAATAGATTGTTGTTGTCTCTTGAACATTGGGATTCTTGTAAAGTTTTAAACATTCGGTGCTAACATGTGTTTAATGACAGGATCATTTTTGCAACTAAAATAGAAAAATCAAATCTAACTCGATCTAGCAAGTACACATGTCCAAACATACCCAGCAATAAATTCCTGTTTGTTCAATTTTTTATCTCCTGAAACATCCAATTTACCAATAATTTCAGTGGCACGTTTTTTTGGATCTCGATCGCCTTTACGATCAGTTTCTCCAACCAAATCATACTGAAGTATAACAAGTAATAAATGAGTTAAACAATACAAAAATTTTAAGCCTGCATTACAAAGCATACCATTGCTGATATCAAATTAGCTAATTCTTTTGAATCAATTTGACCATCACCGCTTATATCGTACATTTCAAACGCAACTTCGAGACGTTCGTCAAGATTACCTGTAGAACGAAAAAATTACTATACTAGAAGATTTTCAACACAAAATCATATTGCTATCAACATAACATCATAGTAATGTAAAACAAAATTATATTGATTTACCTTGACTGGTGGCAGCAATAGCCTAAATTGAGATTGAAGTGAGTGATTTTTTTCGTAATAAAGCCATTTAGACTTACCAATAAAAATTCATCAAAATCAATTGAACCATCATTATTTTGATCGAATGTATTAAACGCATATTTACCTAATAAATGTTTGAAAATAAAAAATAAATTCATGATTCTATATGCATTAAATTCGCAATACTATACTTACAAAACGTATCAGCTTTTCCTTGTGGATAAAACTGTTTGTAAACTTCCACAAATTTCTTTTTGTCTAGTTTGCCAGTTGGACAATCGCGTAAAAATCCCTAAGAATGACACCAGTCGCCGATGATGGTTACATTTCTGTTTTACAGCAAAAAGTCACTTACAGCGTGCCATTCACGAATTTCTATAATACAAAACACAAGAATTTATTTATTAGCATGAAAAAATACAAAAATGAATAAATTGTAAAACAGAATGTATGAAATTTAGACAAAAGTCGAGTTAAGCATCCGACCTCTATTAGCATATGTTTTAACGATGAGGCACAAAATTAGAGATGTCAAGCTACAAGAAGTAAAAGGAGCTTGTTGACCGATATAACTCTAGCTGTACACTACTTCGATGATTCTATTATGATTCAGGATATCGTTGGCTAAACAACATTCCTAAGGGTGAGACAGAAGGGAGCGATCAGATGAAAGTGGATCAACGCTCAGCATTACGGGCATAAAACTATTAAGTCGAAAGTCTGAAGTTAAGACGCATAGAAAGCTTGATCTTAGTTTCACTTGGAATCCGTTTAGAACTCCTGATCTTCTGGTGCAATTGATCCGTAACTTTAGAATCATAGAAAATTTACGTGCCCATTATATTTGGAATTCTTCATGAACCTTGAATCATTTCTTTAATCTGAATTCTTCGGAAGTTAGAGATAGTACACACGTCGGAATCGATCGTGTGTTTTCAATACGGAAATGAAGTGACGCTAAACGTAGCAAACTAATTGCATTTACCTTTTTCCGTGTATTTTGTGTTTGCTTTTAACATCTGAATTTCTCTTGGTGTTAATTCGGTTGATGTACGAGATTTTTTGTCAGCTTTGAAATTTTTTATAAAACAAAACTGTTACAATTCTTCTTTCCCACAGCTGTTATAAAACTGGAAGACGTCAACGCTTTAACAGAGAATACTGCTACCAACAGTATTTCTCAGTGACTATAGCGTCAGTCTCTCACAGCATTACAGCAAGCTGTTTGATTATTGCAGGTGCATTACCTTTGTTTCCCATTTTCAAAAAATTATGAAACGTTGAACGAAATTAGAAAATATCAAAGAGTTTTATAAATTTTACTGTTTTAAAAGTTTTATACTGACTATTTGTTAATGATGGTGTATTTATATATATCGACAAGTCTCCATTAGTAAGAGAGAGAGAAAAAAAAGGAAATATTTGTACACCAAATTTATTTACTGCTATAAAGAAATAAAAAAAAAGAAAAGTAAAAAAAAGTTTTTAGTAATATGTATATCTATATATGTCTCTCTATATGTTTTGCGCCTAAGTAAACAGTATAAAAAAGAACAGAGAGAAGTAGAAGCCTATGCTACCTCGTATATTTTAAAATCTAGTAGAGCTATTTACACAACATTAATATGTATGACAAGATTAATCATCTTGTTTTTTTATACTGAATAATATTATTAGTCATCTGCACAAGTGCAGAAATAGTGCAACAAATCATAATCTGTTATTTTCGGTTACCCATGGTAGCATTATTCAAAGTCGATTTGACGATGCTTTACAAATCATATTAAAAATCCGTCTCTACTAATAGAATATTTACAGAACATACAAAGAAAAAAAATTCTTTTTTTTTCGTCGTCTGATC